CCTATGTGAGTAAGGCGTAGTTTGTCTAATCGAGGTACAATTGCATGGAGAACAGACCCTTGCAACTTTTGCTACGAAGGACCATTTCATCGTATTTCTAACAATGATTCTGTAATTTAGAGAAAAGATCATAAGTCTACAGCGTAGCTCATGAGAAATTATTTAAATTTCGGGGTATTACCTAAGCCAGATTTGAGAATTTGCTAAAACAAGGAGAGATGAGAAATTTGAGAATGTCTAGTGTCATAATTAATTCTTAGATTATGGGATATATGATACTACTTGAAATCTACACACATGGAGTCGAAAACTATCAAAGTAAATAGCTCAAGCATACGGTAGTCACACACTCTTATGATATCTATTTATTTATATTATTATAGTTATGTTTAGAAATATAAGACAATTCTCGAAAAATACCATCATCAGAATTAATATATATTGATAGAAAATTAAGATCAATGAATATTTAGAGATATATAAAAAAAAAATAATAATGAAATAATAAAATAATTATATAGCAAAAGAATAATAATACCATAGAAAATTATATACTGAGAACAAAAATAAAAAATACAAACTACAACAAAAATAATTACAAAATATTATAGAAGGGCTATTTGTAAATTCAAAAAAATGTTGTGCATGGTATGTTTAGGTTTATTCTGTATCTAAGGTTTATTTCTTTGCCTACCATGTTGGGTCATAACTCATTACAATCGTTTTATTAATTATGAGGTATCATCTTTGTGTATTTAGTAATCTAGTTGACTCATGCAATTTATTGAAACCTTAAAATGATCGAGATGAAATTTTAGTATGTGTATATCTCTCCCTGAATTATATATCTCTCTCAGAATAAAAATATACAAAGAGTATACCCTGGACACCATATGCCTACCTTAACGGCATATTACAAAGTTACATTGAGCTAATACCAGATGTTCGGGTGAGTCTTGTTAAAGACTGATACGGAATTAAGAGTTGACGGTTACTACCGGCTTGTCAGGTAGCCCTGGTTTGAGAATCTCCAAGAAATTGTGTTGCGAAACTCTAATGGCACGGGACTTATTTGAAACCCTTTCGGTATTCGTTTTTGCGAATAAGGTGATGTGCATGTGGCACACAGGAGGTTGCTTCTTCTTTTTTCCTAACCCTGCAGACCGTTTCCTTGGCAGACCACGGACTGCCATCTACTGGGTATATAACTCCGGACGTGGGTATCCCTAGAGTTACGGTGGTACCACTTAAAACTATTCTAATGGTTGTAATTTCTGTGTATAATTATATTGTTATCTCATGTTTAGAATATTATTATTTTTCTCTTAAAAAGAATGGTAGGTTGGTTATGTTATCTTACTGTGTTGCAAAGCTCATGGCATATATTTTGTTGCCCTGGCGTTTCATGCCAGATTATGTCGAAGAAGGGACTGAGGCTGAAATTGGAGCTGCTGCCAATATCGAACCTTGGCTAACTTAGAGTCAAGATTTTATCAAAATAAAATCCTGTTATCCCTTGTATTAGGATTTAACTATGTTGTGACGTTGTGTGTGAACTTGTAATTTTATTTTGTCGTTGGACTTTAACTATGTAAGAACTTAAAAGTTCTTAATTAGTAGTTAAAACTTTATCTAGCAAGTTATCGTTATTTAAATCTTATGACGTTTCAAAAAAAAATTTGGGGCGTCACAGGGGGTAAGTAAAATTCAGAATTCATTTACATTGTGTTTGAATTATGAATTTGGGTAAAGATTTGAAAAGGAAAGAAAAAAAAATAGATAAAATGCAAATGAGATATAAGTATTTTTCACATAATTTTTTTATTTTTCTTTCTAAATCTATACTCAAATTCATGAATCAAATACAGTCTAATTTTATTTGAAGAAAGTGTTTCAAATGTTATATTGGCATCGCTTTTTGTTTTCATTTTACAGAGGCTTTTGCGAAAATTTTATAGTTCTGTATTGTCAGTGAAAATACAAGAAGTTTTAGAGTTTTAGTAGAATTACAATGTCCTTTCTTTTAGTTAGGGGTGAGTAGAGGATATTTCAATCCGCCTAAACCAACCAAATGAAATCAAGCTGTCGCATTTTGGACCGATGCGTGATGACGAGCAGACGGTTGCGGATTGATTTTTTAATCCGCCTAGTTTTGGACGGATGACGGATTTAAGGTTACTTTGGCCGCAACCGAACTGTCAAACTGCGAGCACCCCTAGCAATTAGTAAGACTTTGTATTTTCAATTTGTTTAGATATTTTGTTTATATTTTTAATTGAAAAAGAGTTTAGATATTCTGTCGTATTTTCAATTTGAAAATCCTTTTATCAAATGGCAATGATTGATATTTTGTATTTTTGTGTAGAAAATATAAGACTTAATTTTGTATTTTTTTTAAAAAAAATCAAATTAAATAGTTTTTGAATAAAAAAAATGATGAAATAGTTTTGATAATGCATGATTTTTTTATATGTATTTATTATTGGTATTTGACAATTTACTTGATAATTTTTTAGTTATGTTGAGTTAGGTGTTATTCAAGAAAAAAATGTTGACAAATTATTGTATTATGTTCGAAATTTGTAAAAGTATAAAAACCGTCAAGTCGATTCGCATCAATTCGTCAACCCGCAATTTGCATCCATCAATTTGACAGATGAATGCGGATTGATTTTTTCTATTCCATCAATCTGACGGACAGATGACGGATTGAAAATTCTCCGACCACAATCGAATAACAAACACGTCTACTTTTAGTCATGCTAGATCAACTACTTATGCAGATAGTGTAAAATAAATAAACAAGTAAATAAAAACATATATTTTAGTATAAAATAAATGACAATCTCATTTTATTTATTTATTGGTATGTCTAATAAATTACCGATACAAAAGACTAAACTGTGGCAGAATTAAAATTTAACAAAAACCTAATCTAATCATATTAAAATTTTGGAATTTATATGTTTTTTTCAAATTTCAAAAGAAAAGGTGAGTGTAATTTATTTATATTACCAAAAATGTGGGTCCAAGCAGAAGCCCAGGACTCCAGCTGGCTACTTTATGTTGGGCCTAAAAAGAGTGGAAGTACCGAAGATGTGCTGGCGACCCATCATGTGATCTTTCGTCACCTTGCACATGCCAATTGAAGTAAACCCACTTTGCTTTTGTAACACGTGACTGAATAAAACGAGTGGCCCAAATTCGACTTTCCCTTATCATTTTGGGTTGAACTAAAAGCCCACAACAAACTTCTGTTTTTATATTTTTGCACTTACATCAATACTACATAGTATTTTAAAAATATATATTCAAAAAAACATATTTATACACTATAATACTTTTGATGTGGCCCACATTTCATAAATTTTAAACCTGCATATAAATAGACCACATCATTTTTATATAATATATTTTTTTATATAATATCAAGTAAAATAAATTTTACTTGTACAACATTATTGTAGCCGTTGATGTTGTTATTAGTAAGTTAATTAATAAAATTCACCATGTGACAATATGTAACATGTTTAGTGAATACACGCTGAATGGAGAATATTATACAAATTAATAATTTTTTGTTAATTAATGTGTCTTGGAGTGAAAAAATATTAATGTGTCATGTGACAATATATATGACCATGCGAAGAATTCCTTTTTGGGAACTTAAGGGTTATAGGCTCACGTCGGAGTTCATATGTATGTCTGCAAAGCCAAGCATGGATAAAAATGGAACTTAGGGTTTCAGAGTTTTTGTTTAGAAAATTATCCAAAAAAGTTAAAATATATGGGTGAGATTGATTTTATGTGTCATGTGGATTCTATTCTATCAAATAAGAGTTGAATCTAGACCACATGATCAATGCCTATCTTTTCTGAAAATGAAAGCAAAATGGAATTTTCCTAGAAAATATCTGAATTTTGCATTTCCACTTGCCTGTTTTCCAACGGGCTTGGTTAGGTATATGTTTTGTTAGGCATCTTCGTGCACGGTTTGTCATGTGTTCATACACATATACATATACATATATATATATGTATGTATGTATATATGCATGGCAAGGTCACTTCAATTGTTATTTTTTCTTCTTCTTCTTCTTTTTTTCTTTTTTTGGTATGAAATAACACAAATCTTTGAATGAAGCTATCAACTTTCTTATAAGCCAACAACTAATGTATGGCTTTGAATAAACGAAAATTGATGATTTTATTAATTATAAGGGAGATATGACATGACATCAAAAGTTGATAGTACATAAGACATCTTAGAAACAATGAAATAGACTTGTCATCCCAATTAATTTTAATTTTTTTTTTTTTAAATGTTTATATTTTGGTCTAAGGTGGGTTTTGGTAAAACAATAAGGTTGTTTCATCGTATAGGTGTAAGAATTCAAAGCACAAAAACACCTCTATAATGATAAGAGACTTGTGCACTTATCTGTCTTTTATTCTGATGACATAAGAACATAGAATAATCAAGATTTATGACCTCAAGCTCCTATAAAGTTGATTTGCAAGGTACTAATATAGAATTTCAATAATACAACTAACACAACAATCTTTTCAAAAGAAAATGACCTCAACACCTATATATGACCACTAGTGAACCTGCTCTTTTTTTTTCTTTTTTCTTTTTTTTCCCTTTATAATAGAATCCATAACTTACCTCATAGAGAATACAATAAATTGAATTTTAATCTTCTACATCATTATAAATTTTTAAACTTTGCTTAATCATTTTTGAATTTAAAATAACAATTGTTGTGAACCCAAAAGTAAAATCAATATATATATATTTTCTATTTAAAACATCACCAAACAAAATTTAATTTTTAACCTTCCAAATACTGATGTCTCCACTAATTAAAATAGAATTAACATTCAAAAAAATGTGTCGTGTAGTTCCTATAAAAATTAAATATGCACCATCCATTGATATTTCTAAACAAAAATTGTAGATATATACTATAAAAAAAAAAAAAACAGTAATACTGAGAGTAAAATTCAAATTCACATTTTTTTTTTACTTTTACACCATATCACTCTCTCTTTGCAGCCGACTAAAAATTTCAAACATGATAGAATTGCACATACACGGGCTGCTAATATATATATATAAATAAGCAGATTATAGGTTTCTCGATTCTATTACAGCCCATATAGCTTTAAATATGAAAGTAACTTATATATATGAAATATACTGAATTTTCAAATATAGACAGACCTGAAATATCGAACCAAAAGTAGAATATCGAATTCATTAACCGCCATTAACTAGATGCATCGACCAAAGATCCTCCATGCTCCAAATGTTATCGGTGGATTCAGTCGGAAAAGTTGCGGGAAAAGTCTCCAGATTTCCTGGGTACGATAATACCGGTGAGTAGCTTTCGACTGCTTGATGATGAAGAAGAAGATGATGATCTGTCGAACCAAACATTTGACTTGTGCTCGCATGATCGTTTTCTGGGTACGATAGTGATGATGAGTAGGTTTCAAGTGGATGATGATGCTGATGATGATCTGCAGAACCAGAGATTTGATCATTGTTGTCGGAGCATTGTGCTCCGGCACTGAATGTTTCGGCTTGTTTAATATGTTTTTGGATTCTAGTCCTCCAGTAATTCTTTATTTCGTTGTCCGTCCTTCCTGGTAGATGCTTTGCAATTTTTGACCACCTTCACATCATTAAATAATGAATGTATAATAAGCAAATAAATGAATGAATCAGTTTTCTTACATCAATAAAGCTACTCATTCACTTTGCTCTTTCATCAATAAATTTTTTTTTTTACAGATCAAAAAAATAAATAAAAATAAAACTACTCACTCAAGAAATTTATACATAATTAAAAAATGTAATTAAAATTCAATTAATATTTTGTGAATCCAACTATTTTTAAATAAAATTTTGAGTATGTAATACAATCATTCTACATACATACAAAAAAATATAAATAAAAAAGAGAAATTATATAAATATATATATATAAAACGATGCGGCAGAATTTTTTATATATAATTTTAAACAAATTCTCCAATACTTCTTAATATCAAAGCTACCACAAATGAAAATTAGGATTTTAATAAAAAGAAATGATAGAAGAGGCACGTGGTTGTGGGAGACCAAAAAAATTATTTTCTAGATTTGAACTATATTATTTCAATAATATGTAACAAATGACTATTTTATCTTTTATTTTTGAAATAGATAATTATTTTTTTTAAAAAAACTTAAACAAAATAATCATGTGTAGCTCTATTATTATTAATTGGGTGGCCATTTTTCAATTTAGACACGAGGCAAATGAAGAATAGTGCATTGTAGAAAGAGAAAAGGAACATTAGGTTAGGTGTAGCACATTCCAAGTGGATGAGTAATGCAAACTATGGCCCACCATCTCTCTCTCTCTACACATATATAGGTATGTATATATATATATATATATAAAATCCTCATGTTCAATGGTTGAAATTGAAAACCCACATGTTCCATGCTTCAAAATTCAAAATTGAATGTTTCACTTTTCATGCACGTTGGTTCAATATTTATTATTTTTTTAAAAAAAACTTAAACAAAATAATCATGTGTAGCTCTATTATTATTAATTGGGTGGCCATTTTTCAATTTAGACACGAGGCAAATGAAGAATAGTGCATTGTAGAAAGGGAAAAGGAACATTAGGTTAGGTGTAGCACATTCCAAGTGGATGAGTAATGCAAACTATGGCCCACCATCTCTCTCTCTCTACACATATATGTATATATATATATATACACATAAAATCCTCATGTTCAATGGTTGAAATTGAAAACCCACATGTTCCATGCTTCAAAATTCAAAATTGAATGTTTCACTTTTCATGCACGTTGGTTCAATATTTAAGGGAAACTCAGAATTAAGAAGTAGAGACTTGTTAAAAGGTCAATCCAACAAAAAATCATATATCTTTCTTTCCCGAAGTCATTCAAAGGCTATAAGCAGATTAGAAGCATTTCGAGCTCCTACTTGAAAGAGGCCTCTCAACACTCTCAAACAATGTCTCTACACCCACGCTACACTATCCATGGTTTGATTATCGTTGCTAGCAACTCATCATGCAACACATCTATTGTTCAAAAAATCGAAAATGAGGTACTTTGTGGCATGATCTTAATGAAATCCTTTTTTGTATTTTTTCAAATTTTGATGTTGTCGGGATCATCTTTGTCCCGTGCCCTGCCTTTCTTGACACAAGGGTAAGATGGGCACAAATCAAAGAGTGGAATTGAGGATCTTTTCACATGAATGCTCCTATTTGTAATCATCAGATCTTATTAGATTTTGGATTTATTTTTCAAAAACTTTAAATTTTTTGTAGCGGTGGACGAAAATGAGGGGCAGCAACTGCCTTCTCATGTTTTCAACAATTATAATTTTACCAATAGTCATATTTATAATTTGCCCTCTCTCAAATTTCGCATATACTTCTAATATATTTATAGCTCATTTTTCTTTTTATTCTCTTCAATAAAGTTCTCGCAATTTACCTCATTAAGCATTCATTTTTGTTATTAAAAAAAAAAAATTATTTTATTTTTTTGGGCTAAGCTATTGACTGTGTCTTTAATTCTAATTTTGTTTTTAAGCTATTTTGCCCCATCCTCAGTCGATTTTCTAGCTACCCAACTGGCTATTTGTTCCAAGAACATTCGAGTTAATGAAAGTACTTTCATATTTCCAATCCATGATGGTTCCTCGTACAGAAGAGCACAATACGGTCTAATCCTTGAGAAGAAAGGAAGGACCATGGAATTGGAATTTTTGTTAATAAAATTCAATAAAACCCAACTCTTTCAATTTTTGTGTGTGAAAGAGCCTCCAATTTACAGGTGGTCCCTCGCCTTGAAGAGCCAAAACAATCGGGCAGCTGTCAACTTCAATCAAACCCATCTCTTTCTATTTCAATTGATGGAGGAGAGTTTTGGCATGTGATCAACTGAAGTGGGCTGACCTTAAAATGGAAAACTTTGAGTTATTGGATATCTAAGGTCTTGTTAGGTAATGCTTTTTTATTTTATTTTTAAAATTTTAAAACGAAAATTTATTTAATATTTTGTTTTATTTTTATTTTTATTTTTAAAAAAAATGAAATTGATTTTAAAATTTTAAAATTTTTTTCAAAAAAAAAGAAGAGAAAATACTTACATTTCTTTACAATACAAGTTTTTACCACCTTCGACTATCACTTACGCTGTGTTTGGTTAGGAGATTTGGGAAGGGAAATGGAAAGGGAAATGGAAATGAAAGGAAAAGGAGAAAGAATTAATAGAATTCCAAATCCCAACTATGTTTGGTTGTGCTGGTTATAAAATAGAATTGATGTCCTAAAAGGTTTCCTATTTCTTTATTTATTTCTCACCCCCTTTCTTTTCTCATATATTTTTTATTATAACCAAACATAAATAGGATTACATTTCTCATTCCTTTTCCAAATTCCACTTCAAAAACCTCAACCAAACGCAGCATTACTGTTGCCACCAACCATCAAGAAACTTTGGCCAATTGGCTGCTAGCCAGCTAATTGTCAAAGCCCTACAGCCACCTTCTGGTCGATTGGCGGCAACCTCCACAAACTCCAACCACCTCTAACAACTAGGCAATCACCATTTATAATCTCCACCCTCTAACAACCCCATGACACGATGGCCACCACCTTCGATTGCCACTCCAATCATTGACTACTGCATTCATCTATTCTCACCATCAATCATTACTTCTGACAACTCATCAGACATGTTTATATATATATATATATATATAAATATAATATTTTTTTTACACCAAACAAGTTTTTCATTTTTATTTTTTTATAAAAAAAAAGAAAATATTTATTTCTTGTATTTTTATAAATAAAAAAAAAAATCATAACATTATCAAACAATATCTAAGAGAATATTTTTGAGTGGTGTCTTTTTTTCTTTCGATTGGTTCACACATATTTATATTAATATTTTACTTAACAACATAAAACCACATTTTTTAATAATTAATTTAGTATAAATATGAAAACTTTAAGTGTTACCCAATCCGTACACAATATTATTAGGAAAACTCTTTGTGTTGCCAACTAGTTTGGCGGCCCCGACTTCACAATATACTAGATTCTATATAATACCTTCCAAGACATTTTTGCACTCTATTAATTACTAATTTTTTTAAATAAAAGAATCTAAATAAAACCTTCTTCTTCTTTTTTTTAACATTTTGTAAATATTATAAAATTTAAAATAAAAATGATTTTTATTATCTGATGGAATTAACCTCCTCTTTCTTTCTTTCTTTTTCCCTCCTATATAAAATGCACACATCAAACATTATGTGTACTTATATTATACATCATTTTAAAAAATAAAAAATGACCCCTATTTTTAGAAATAACAAAATTAGAGATGTATTGAAAACATAATAACAAATTTTATACTATGAAGCTGGGATTTTTGTGCATCTTATGACCAGATTCTACATCTCGCCGTCATCTTTGTGATTATAGTATTGGATGATTTTCGATTTTGAAGTGTTTGATCAAGAACAGAAGGTCAAAGTTTTTTTATTCAATTTTCTCAAATGAATTCCACTTAAAATTTTCCCCAAGATTTAATGAAATAAAAATTCATATTGCTCTTGAATGAGAGTCGAAAAAGAAGAGCATGCGCCCTCAATTTGAAGCATGTAAGTTGTATTTCAATATGTATGGAGGCTTGACTCATAAGATCCAATGATAAATATATAGATTGAGAGAAAAAAACTACATCTCGTAAATGGATTGTTGATAGAAATAGATTATAATTAGATTATAATTCTAACTTTGCAATTTCTATCTCTTTCTCTTTCTCCATCCATATCCAGGTAAACTTTAAGGGTGTAGAGTTAACTGCTTTTGAATCTTGAATTTGAAAAACAATTTATAGAGTAAAAGAAAAGGCCAAGAACAAAGTAAAAACATTTATTCATTTTTTTTTCTTTCTTCTTTTCCCATTATAAATATCTTTAAAAATTAAATATCCAAACTCAAACACAGTGTAATAGATATCCCAAAATATCATGAATTCATTTTTTTATTTTTGAGAGAGAAATTCATATTTTCAACTATATATTCAAGCATGCACTAACCTGTTTCCCCACTTAGCATGAAGTTCCATGATCAAGAGCTGTTCTTCTGGTGTTATATTTCCTCTCCTAACATCGGGTCGGAGGTAATTGAGCCACCGGAGCCGGCAGCTTTTCCCTGTACGTTTCAGTCCTAACAAAACAGTTTTGAAAACTAGGGTTAGGGTTTCCATCACACACAAAGAGAGAGAGGGAGAGAAAGAGAGAAATTACCAGCAGATCGAGCAAGAGAGTTCCAAACACCTTCACCGTGATTGGCGATGTAGTTGATGAGGATCAAGTCTTCTTCCATAGTCCATGGCCCTTTTCTCACTTCGGCATCCTGGGAGTTACCTGATTTTTTATCCATTTTTGGACGTAGAAAGAGAGAGAGAAGGTAGGTATGGAGGTTTTGAAGAAAGATAATGGAGTTGGCAAAGAGATTTATAGAGCCAAGTCTATGATAATTTTAACCAGTACACTGAGCTTTTTAATTGATACTATAATAACAGAATTCTTAACCTAACTCTTGTATAAACTACTATGTAAATAGCTACGTTTCCTCTTAATCGGATGTAAATAGTCCCATGCATGCATGCATGGTTATGATCATAAGTCATCATAACTATTACATGTACGGTAGGCGTAGAACCACGGACTGGGCCTATTCCAATCAAGGCGAGTTTAAGCTGAGGTTGCACCAATAGTAAGAGAATATGTGTCATCTCAAACTTAGTTCGGCCTGGCATCAGGCGTAATCTAGCCATTCACTATTAAATTCTTAGACTAGTCACTTAATCTAATAAATATGAATTATTAATTTTTTTTTGTCTTGAATGAAAATCAAATTATTTAGCCACATTAATTTATTATTTGAATTTAAAACATTAACATAATTCAATGATAAAATAAATATAATTTTTAACAAATGTTTTAATTTAAGCCCTAGACAGAAGTATATATATTTTGTCTTTTATATTTAAACTACTTATTTTATAACTAAAATAATATAAAATTATAAATAATAATTTATAGATAGGGTTGGGTTAGAATTCTTTATTCTAACTTCAATCCAAATATTAAATGAGTATAAATCTCAACCCAATCCAATTTTATAAGCAAAATAATTTTTGCAAAATAATTTTTTCAAAATCTAAAAAATATCAAGTTAGACTGGGCAGGTTGAACGGGCGATCAATTCGATGGTCATCCAAATATTAAATGAGTATAAATCTCAACCCAATCCAATTTTATAAGCAAAATAATTTTTTCAAAATCCTAAAAATATCAAGTTAGACTGGGCAGGTTGGACAGGCGACCAATTCGATGGCCACCTTACATGTACATGCATGACTATATTTTTTATTCGCTTCTTTTTAAGTTGTAATATGAAAACTTAGAAATGAATGCATTTTCAAGGCAGCCAACCCAAACTTGTTTGAGTTGTGTGAGTTGATCAAGACTAGGATTGCTCTATGGTTGAATCCACACCTGAAGGAGTTTCATTTTACAACCAATGATTTCATTTGTAATTTAAATCAGATCAAGTTGTGCTTTGGAGGAGCTTTGAGGTATTGAGTTGGGTGGAGCTTTGCTGGTTTAAGTCAGGGAAGCTTTGTTTTGCTATGGATCAATGCTGATGTCCTATGTCAGATGATCTATTTAGTGTATTGTTTGGCACCACCAGTTGGCTCTGTTGATTGTATAGCTTTTTTGCCTTTTCTTCTGCTATGGGTACTCCTAATTGGTTTCTCACCAGTCATGGGTCAAATGCTAGTATATGATTGTACTTCCTTTGCGGTGCCAACCTAATTGAGATTGTTAAGGTTAACTATGATACTTTTGCATTTCCCTCTTTGTTGATGTAATTGTTACATGTATTGTGCCTCTTTTCGTCAATAAAGTTTTTGTTTTTGCCAATAAAAAAAAAAAACAGTTGTAATATGCATTACATGCATATACATGTAACTTGTCAAATGCATATATACATGTAACATGTTGCATGCATTTTTTCCCCCTAAAAATAAAATAAATGAAAGGAAAATATATAATGTATGTGCGTGGCTATATAAAAAATCCATGAAAATGAGAAATAATATTGATGACAAGCAAGCAGGATCATGATTTTCTGTAATGATTTTTTTGTGATAATTCAACAATTTTAATTTAAAATTAAAGCGTCCTTATCCACAGAAACAACCTTATTGAGCCGTACATACTCTCATTGGACAAATCATTTGATTAAGCTAAATATCCATAAAATTGTTTCAGAAATTTTTTTAAAAAAATATATTAGATGATTGAGATTCATAGACCTTATTATATAAGAATTAGATCTAATTCGTATCATTTTTCTGATTAAATTTGTGGTAAAACTTTCGCTACGATTAAGAGGTATAAAGGTGATCGAAAATGTCTTTTATTAACTACGAAGTGTCTGTGGCACAACTCCTTATAGTACTAGTCGTGTGGCATGTCGGCCTCTATCTTTAGAAAATCTTAAATAGATTATAGACGAATCATAGGCATTCTAGCTCAAAACATACTTTGTTTGTATGTTCCTTACCTTAATTATAATTTTAATGGTTAAAAATTCCATAACCTCAAAGTACTATATGATATTGTTCACATAGTACTATAAAAATAACTAATAAATTTTCAATTCAAAGGGTGTATTTGGGAGAAACTTTAAACTTTAATTGAAAATTTATTTCTCGTTAATTTCATGAATGAAAATGATTTTTTTATCACTGGAGTATTTCATTAATTTTTTTTTCTTTTCTTTTTGTGAGAGACACCATGCCTATTGAATATATATATATATATATATATAATGCTGATTAAAAAAAATGTTGAGCTCAATACACGAGACTGCAACTTACAACAAGGTTTGAGAAAAATAATAGGAATGCCTATTGAGTCATCATGATAATCGTGAATTTTAATTGCCCAAAAAAAAGAGCATATTTTTAAAAACGATAATGTTAAGTATTTGAAACTTATAGAATTGTTCATAATTTAAAATATGTGGATCAAATATGCTAAATTTAAATTTACACTATATATTCAAATTTTTTGTATTTTTACTAAAAAATAATTCTAGGTACCATAAAAATTTAATTAGAATTTTATTACAAAAGTGAGTATAGATTTAAAGTTAATGTATTGTGAGTTATATACAAAATTACTCTTTGTCCACTTGTACGCTCGGGAGTAAAATTATTATTATTTTTTAAATTGAATATGTAGCACAACAATATTCTAAATACGTAAGATTTATGCTCTAACATTCTTTTTTCTAAATTTGCCATGTTTTCATTGTAGATAATTATTTTTCTTCTTGAAATTTGTGTTTTTTCCATGAACTTTCCCAAAAGCTTTTCAAGTCATTCTTGAAAATTCTTGGCAAGATTCATTGTCGCTTCTCCAAAGCAAACAATTATTGTACAAAAAATAATATTATATAAATAAAAGTTTTACATAATTTATAATTTTAAAACTATCATGATACATTATTATGTGCAAAAATTCTTTTTATGAATCATTTTATTTGTATAAAGCAAAATCAGAGTGGTAAACAAATTAAAAATAGATTTTTTGACTAATATCTAAACATTTTCTTCTAATTTTTCTAATCCAATAAAAAAATTACCAACTCATTTTTTTGGTACTTTTATGTATTGTACCACAGCAGTGATACATCCCCTAAAAATGAAATTAAATAGAGCTCTATACACTTGGTAATGAACAAAAATACAAAACAAACAAGACACAAATATTACTATCACTGTTGGGCTCACTCTCATTAAAGCTCATTAGAGTTTTTTTATTAGAGCTCCTAATCATTTTTCATTGTACCATGAGTTGTGTGTACTTTTTTTTTTTTTTAAAGGAAACTCCTTGGAGTTTGGTTTGGGTTTTCTAAAAACACTTTTCAAAAAATTTTATTTTCTTATTTTTCGTATTTTTTTATTTTTACTGATTTTTTTAATATCCTAAGTAATTTTTTTAATTTTTAGACACATCTAGCATAAATACACTTAAAAAGTATAATTTTCGTGAAAAAAATCTTTAAAAAGTTCACTAAATACCAAAAATATGAAAATTTAATATATTTTTCGTATTTTTATATATTTATTAATTTTTTGAAATATTTTTTCACAACATTTAAAAAAAATTTAAAATTTTAAAAATATTCACTAAAAATAAAAAATACGAAAAATAAAATATTTAATTTTAAAAAAATTAAATTTAAAAAATTAAAACCAAACACCGTGATTATTTCGGCAGGTCGTGATCACAGATAACTGGTCACCATGAACTTTGTGTACTTGAAATTGAAGCAGCAAATGTTGACATTGACCCAATAGATCCGCGTAGATTGGAATTGAATTGTGATCCTGAAAGAAAAGGGGTCTTCGGGTAAAAGGGGAAGAAAAAACAATTTAGGTATTTAACCTTAAATAGTATTATTATATTTATATATTTTTTTTGTTGAATTTCTGAGTGGACTTGTGATTAGTGTCTCAAAAATCTTAATAGTAAAACCAGATATTTTGTAGATATTCAATGGTATAATGTTCTTAATGCATATATGATTGCATATGTGAGTTTGACTTGTTCACAGTTCATTGAACAGATTAGATTAGTGTAATCAGAGCCTGTAAATTGATTATAATTCTTATTTTGATAATTTACTATGTTCATTTTACATGTTTTTGTGAGTAAATTATTTATTAAAAAAACAGAACAAATCACATCTAAACAAGTGATTTCATCATGAGTCTTGTTAAGTGTTTGTTAAAAATCAAATAATATTTTAAAAAAAAAAAGAATTCAAATACCCATCTTGCAAATTTTCATACACTTTTTACTTATTTTAATATAATTTTTACATATTTTAATATATTTTGCATCATTTTTGTTTTCAAATAAATAAACAGTCTATTTTTAAAATCATACTGGTCATTCATTTTTTAAAACAAATATGATGAAAATTACTTGATTACAATTATCAAATCAATTTATTTATTTTTATTTTTTTACACAAAAAATATAAGATGAATATATTAAATTATTGAAGTTAGTCATTATTTTGTAGTAAGAAACTGGGGTCCACAAAAGAAAGATTAGAATCTGATTTGCAAGATACTTTTTGATATAGACAAGTGATTAATGAAAGATAAAGTTAAATTAGGTTTAAACGATTGTGATCCACAAAAGGGGTTGAGATAAGGAACAAGAAAGAGGACATAAGAACACTTATGTATGAGATCAAGATCTGTGGTTTAGACTTAAAAAACATTAAACAAAATCTCATATTAGAGAGGGAGTTGCTCAAGTGACTAATTCCTAACTTGGGTCCAATTAAACATTGTATCAACCACTCATTATTAGGTGTAAAGCTGTCATCTTTAATATCCCAAATCCCCTCCATTACTGTTCAAACTGGGACACTCACATGCAAAATTTACATTTCAGCAACACACCACTAGCAAAATCAACTTTGTAGCTCTCAATTGATTGTAACTACATGCAATCTCTATCTACTTTACTCTTTCTTTCTTTTTCTTTTTTTTCTTTTTTTGAACTTGTAAAAAAATAGGTGCTTCTTAGAAGTATCATTGCAACCCACTACGGGGATAAACGGAGAATGCACCAACTCCAAGCATAAGAGATAGAGTCATGAGCGAAATAAAACATGGTCAGTTTCACCAAATAAATGGGATGCTAGTTGTGTCCCAAAAATCGAGTCCTACTCACCTATGTGGAAGGCCAACGTCTTTCCACGCCACTACCACCCTTGGTGGTAATCTACTTGTACTTGATTCTTTGTTATTTATTCTCGAAATCGATTCTTAAGCTTCGTTTGGGATGTGAGTTAACTTTTTGACTATTTTAGCCTGAGACTAAAAAGTCTCGTTTGGGATTAACTTTTTTGATTTTTGTGAGAAAAAAATAAAATAATTATGATTTAGATGTAACATTTTGTCTTATTAACTTTTTACTTTATTTTGTCTTTTTGTGACTATTTTAACCTTTTAGTCCCAAAAATCTGAATGTCAAACATGGGCTAGACTTTGTTTGATTATATTACAAGAGCCAATTTGTTGGTTGAAATAATTCATTTCGTCGAAAAAATCTAAGTTCATTTGGTAAATTTATTTTTATCAAAAGGTTACTCACTTTAAAAATTTTAAAAATTAAAAATGTTTCAAATTAACTACCTTTTCAACATAAATTTATTTTTAACTGATAAATTAACTTTTTAACTAATTCTAAAATTCTAAAAGAAAACCTTAATTGGATTGTGCAATTTGCACAACCAAATCATCTTTGTTGGGAATAATTCAAGGTTGATTGGTGGAACTATGTTCGGTAAATTGACTAATTGAGAAGTGTTGGAAATTTATAATTTTGATTCTTAAATTTATTTATAATGATATGAGAAACAAGGTAGACTCCACATAATTGAGTTTGTGAAAAATTAAATATTAACATTTAACATGTCACATCAATAAAAATCAAATTGTAAAATTTTTTAACTGAATCTTAAACATTTTTTTGGACTAATTATCACCCTATCCTTAACCCTAACAAGATTAGCTAAGATGGGCTATTTGCTATGGTACCAATGCTACAAATATATATATATATATATATATTTTAAAAGACACACGCCAATCATAAAGTAAAAGGGTAAATTGTGCATTGACATCTTGACATTGCTCTTGCTATTTTGCTGCCTAAATTATTTGTTTTTTTTATTTTTTGTTGAATTATTAATAATTATGATGGTTGTGTAACGAAAAATGTCACATTCAATAGAAAAAACTTTGATTAGACTAAAATTCGACTCATGTCCAAGTATTCCCTCTATTTCAAAATATTAATTTTTTTTAGAGAATTCATTTTATATATATATATATATAATACAATTATTACACTTAAAAATATTAACTTTTCAAAACTACGCTTTGGTAGTATAATTATTACACTTCAAAAATATTAATTTAATGAATTTAAAAGGACAAAATAAGAAGTTCAAATTATTTTAATTCTTAATTTTTAAAAAGTGATTAATATTGTGAAACAATAAAAAATGAAATAAGGGACTAATGTCCACTTCTCTCCCCCCATTTCTCATGCTATTCCCTCTCCCTCTACTGCCCGTCAACACGATTACAAAGCCACCTCCTCCACTCCTTTCTTGACCCTCTTCCACCCCACCCCTTCATGGTCTTGCCTTTCTCACAACCTCTCAACCACCCATTTTTCATTTTACTCTACACTCACCAAGAAATCTTATCTTATTCTCTCTCCATTCCCACCACCACCCCCTCTCACCTCTTAACCATTACCACCCCCTCGCTTCTACCACACCCTTGCCGCCACCCCTTAAAACTAACACCTCCACCTTCAAAGCCCTCGTCACAACCTCTACGACCACAGAGAAAGAGAGAACTCATATCCAAAATAAAAACAAATATATAAGTATAAATGCTTTCTGACATTCTCTTTCATCAATGTATTAGGATATAATTTAGAACCTAAATTTTAGGTGAAGTCATTCAATACTTTTAAGACAATAGTAACTTTGAGGGCATTGTCTCAATAGTATTAGAAGTCACAAAATTTATAATTTTTGAGACAAAGTTCAAGAAGTAAATGATAATTTTTCAAAATTTCAGGATTAAGGAAAATTGTGAAGGGATGAGATGATTAATGAGCACGAGTATTGAAAGGAACTGCATGAGATTTGAGAGGTACACTCACATCATCTTGTTTTAAGACTGTTTTATGGCATGTCATTGTTGCCTAGCAACACTTGGCATTTTTCTCAAGTCACAGTCATTAATATTTTGTTGTTATTCTTTTCCAATTGTTGAGTTCCTTTTGGATGAAATTTGTTTGTTTTCTTTCTCAAAATAGACTATAATACATTGAAACTAATAAAGGTTAAAGCAGTGATAATTGACGTTTAGTAGCTGGCACATTTGATTGTCCTACATGTCACTTAATTATTAAATATATATATTATACAAACTAATAGAGTTTATAATTATTTTTATTCATAGATGTAATATATAATAATAAAATTTAAAAATTTAAAACATAACCCATTAAGATAATACGATTGAAATAGATCATCTAACTATAAAAAATAAAAAATTATAAAATTTATTAATTTGTATATTATGCACAAGTGATAAATCAGAATGACCTCTAATTGTACTTGCTAGCATTACGTATTGCAACTTGCAACCTTTTGGAATTAAAGCTCAAATAGTAACCACAAATCATTATGTGGCTAACAAATGGTTTAGGTAAGCCTTATTTGGGATCATGAAAACTCAAGAGACAACCACTAACCAAGAATCATAATGAAATTTGTCCAAAGTAGTGAAGTATATGTATGTTACTCAAAAAATCGAATTTAAGATGTCCGAATTTATAGTTTATATCACTACAAACTTCTCTATACGTGTGGGGTTTCTTTTTTCAAACCACATACCATACGGGACAGATTAAGTTGCAACTGATTTTATAGCAACAGTGAGTGCCCCAAAACTGAGGGATGCACAAGAAATTCATCTGTTGCACAAGGTTGTTACTGTGAATGACACTTGCACTTTCATGTCATATACAAGAATAGGGCTATTGTATGACTGACATTCCATCACATTCAGGATGCGACTGGAATAACTTTGGGATAATGTTTGATTCAGTTAAATGAAACAGAATAGAAATTTCTTAATCTTGCTATGAAATAATCATTATCTTATAATGGTAAATGACACTTCCATTTACAATAACAAAAAGCAATTAAATGAACTAATCGTGAGAATTTGATGAAAATCTTATCATTTTAGCAATTGATGTGCAGTGGTGATATCAGGAACCGTGCTTGATATTAAGCTCCACGTCTTGTTCAAATCCCCCTTAAACAATAAGCACAAGATAGTTACTATCAATCATAGAGAGGTAATTCTCCACATAATGCATAAATGTGAGAAAACATTCACAACATTGTGAACATTTTGGGTCACATTCCCGTTCTGTAAAATTCTTCCTGCGCACCTAGCATAACTGAAAAGAAAATGTTGCAAGATCTAATCATCAGGCAAGAGAATCTACACTCAGCCCACTTTCTTTGTCTGTAAGTTCTGTATGAAGAACATCTGTGTAACACGTAGACTTGTCATTTTCATACAATTCCTTCTCAGAGCATCCAAATTATTATCAAATTGCCCTTGTAATCCATCGTTGAGGAACCTGGTGAGGATAAAATGTGAGAGCATAGGGGATTCTAAAGCATCTTATGACAAGCAAAGCAATACTAACGATTCTCTCGTCCGTACCATTCCATACCCATACAGCTAGGTAGCAGAACTCCACATTTTAGCCATGTTGATGCCCCATACCATTCAATTGAGATTCCTCAAGAAGACCAAGATCCAAACAAAGCATAAAAGTTCCATCCAAAAGCATACAAGCAAAATACGAGAGAATGGTGGCCCATTATCTAAAAGAGATAGCAAGACATTAACAGTATCATTACAGATAAAAGTAATAGCCAAAAGTAGCTGTGATACAACCAAACAATAGTTTCAGAAAGTATATCAAGCCAATCGTCTTGCTACAATAACAATGTCACTTAAGTATTCAAGTGAAAGTATTGTCTCTAGGAATTGCCAAGATGTTACAAAAACCCTAGATATCTAATAACCATGCACCAACAAAAGTCCCAGCAGCACCCAAAATTCTTGACAGCCTTTATGCCTGCAAACATAATATCAACTTATTAAATACAATAATGAAGTGAGGTCAACACCCTTGATCCATCTAATGCTTAGATTTGCAGCTCTATCAAATATTTGCAAATGTAAAAGTATTGAGCAAGCAATCTGTCAACGCCCTTGATCCATCTAATGCTTAGATTTGCAGCTCAATCAAACAGTTGCAAATGTAGAGTATTGAGTAAGCAATCTTTGATTTAAAAAAAAGAAAAAAGAAAACGATGTGTATGATGTTCCAATTTAAGAGAGAAAATTTGTTGAAGGCTGAACGACACTCCAAGATTTGCCGAAGGATACGCCAGAGATACAAGAGACAAAGGGAATCACTGGGAGAAAGATAGAACAGTCTAGCAGAGAAGAAAGAGAGAAAAGAAGAGCTCTATGTACAAGGCTCAAATCTCAATCTGAGATACCGTGTTCTACCTGTGGGGTAATTAAATTATGAAAGCACCATTGCATAAACAAGGGGTGAGCTTGCAACCATAATTATTGTTTTTCTGGGGAATTTGTTAGAGTTTGTCAAAAGTTAGCAAGGCCACTAGGATTATAAATTCTATATATATCTGTTTAAAGACCCCAAAAATTCTTTCAATTTTTTAAAGACCAAGAAAAATATCTCCTGATACAAAGGCCCAGCAAAAAATATTCTTCATTTGACTGAAGGTTCCAATAGTAAATGTCATAGACGCACTAAATTTTGCATACAAAATAAAATATAAAAAGTTTGTAAATATTTAAATATTAAAGAAGCCTCTTATTGAGATTTTGCTTTCCCCACAGTAATGAAGCATGGTATAAAGACCTTGGGTGTGACACTTGGACAGACGTGCGTGGTGGGTCAGGTTCACAAGTCAAACATATAATCCTAACTTCCATGGGGACACAAGGTTGGCAAGCTTCATAATGATGAAGTTTGGGACTTGGGCATATGCAAGGTGTTGCAGACATTCAGTTGAAATGGAACATGTGAACTGTATACTTGTTCATTGAAGGCTGACATGTATAGACCTATATGCTGACAAGCAATGCACACATCATCACATACATGTCTGACATATGCTACGTCGAGTACCTATAACACCTGTCGAGTACCTATAACACCCATCGAGATGCCTCTTAATTTCAAAAGTAATGCAACTGCTGCATCATGTAATTTTCCATTAAGTATTATACAGTAAACAAAAAGATGAACATGCCTTGCTAGCAATGTTGTTAGAAAGCCAATCCAGCCCTTCATAAAGCCCTTCTCCAGAGGTTGCACATGTGCTCTGGATGTACCTGAAACAAACCAACAGGTCAAATCAGCACAAATTCAAGTAACTGTTTAATTTGTTTGAAATTAAAATTATTTTGGAAACCATTTGCGTGCATTTTCAAGAAACATGCCCTTTGCAACAGTAATTATTTAATCAATCTGGTCTAACCATCATTGGAGGTGAAACCCACATTTAAGCAAAGTTCTCAACCATGTCTCCAACTTAACTATTAACCATACTGCTTAAGATATGGCAATGCTTCTCCCAAACATTGTGGAGTTGAGATTAGTTTATACACCAGTGCTATAAACAAATCAAAAATTTACCAGTGGCGTTGTCGGAGAGAATGAAGACCAAGCTTGTCGGTTATTTCTGCAGCATTCATTGCATTAGGAAGATCTTGTTTGTTAGCAAACACAAGCAAAACAGCATCTCTCAACTCATCCTGCAATCAGAATAACACACAATTCAAAATGAAACAACCAAAAAAATCTGAGTTACTGATCCCTTCTCCTGCACAACCAAGATAACAAAAATTAACTGTGTAAAAGATAGACATAATTTTCAGCTTACAAGGACCTGCATAACTAAAAAATTCGGCAGGACAAACAACAAAGACAATGGCATATACTATCCATAAATCAACCCTTCAGAATCAAACAAATCACTGATCAACAAATATAAAATTACAATAAGAGAAAACAAATTCTAAGACTAATATTTAATATAATAGTTCTCCCAGTGCAAATCTCATGGAAGGGGACTAAACATATAACCAGGAAAGTATGATCTACAGAGGAAAATGACCATGCAACAAATAATATGGAACGTACTAAAGAATTAGATGTCATAGATGCCAAATGGCACCAGCTACCAATCAATTGTGCAGATCAGCAAAATGTCATTTACAAAACCATCCATTCCAATATAACTGAATGTAATACAACACAATAATCAAAGGCTACCTCATTCAACATCCTATGCAATTCATCCCTAGCCTCAACAACTCTATCCCTGTCATTGCTATCCACCACAAATATAAGTCCCTGTGTATTCTGGAAGTAATGCCTCCACAATGGACGGATCTATATCAAAACAAAACCACATTGGTCAAGCATTATAAGAGCACAATCATGAAAAGAAGAAAGTCATCACAACATGATAAAACCAAAATTACAACTCCAAACCGATTGTTACATCCATAAAATAAATTATAAGAAATACCAGAACAAAAAGATCTCTTGATTGATGATTAGAATAAGATACTAAAATGCCATACATGTAGGGCTACGCTATATAATATACGTAAGTGACCAGTTGAACAATAAGAAAACCAACCAGTATTTACTTCAAAAAATATATATATTTAAAAAGCCAGTTACAGTGTATATACCAACGCTGTTAACATAATACTCCTATTTGGTTCCTTCGCTGATCGCATATTATGCATTAGAGGCTAAAAATAATATTCTAAGATTAAGTATCCGATGACTTGTTGGTCTAGTGTATTGGATGACATTTAAAATCTTGGCTTTAAGAGGCTAAGGGCTCAAAACTTGAGTTATGTAATTTACAGGGAGAACCATATATTGAATTTACATTCATGGCCAAGGGCCCAGATCTTGCAAATTTGCTCTCGTTAGACACCTATTTTACACTTTTTTTTAAATGCTTTCAAAGCATTTCATAATACTACCACTAGTGCCAGGTGAAAGCCAAATTGCTTTGCTAGGCACTCATTTTGCATCACAAAAATGCTTTTACAAGATTAACAAAAAACACAATTATTTTACCAAATGAAGGAAAACCCTATCTTTCCCAAATAATTCTAATAAATTCAATTTTTTTTCAAAAAAACAAAAAAGATGATGACACAACATTCTCAAAACTATGATTTTTCATTTTGAAAACTCAAAGTAATTCATATATAATGAGACTCAACTATAATATTCACAATTTTTCAATGTCAGAAAATTTACAACCAAGTTACCATTGTAATTATCTTGGTGCACTAACCTAGGTTCAAACCAAAAACTGCATAAAAAGAACGAGATGTCCAGAACTTCAAAATTGGTGACAATGTCACTCAATAAACACTTGAACCTAAAAAATATGCATACCTTATCCTGACCACCAACATCCCAAACTGTGAAGCTAATATTCTTGTACTCCACTGTCTCAACGTTGAATCCTACAAGAAACAAGACTCTTTTAAAGTCACAATGAAAGATGAGAAAAAAATAATGGCACCTTCGTTAACCAGATGTTAACTACTAAAAAAATTCAATAATGAGCAATGATGAACTACTTCCACTAAACAACCATGTTTACCAATTTCATTACATGAATCTTTCAGTGTTACATAGATTTTTTACAACTAGAACCATTTAAGTATTTCAATGAAACTATAAAATTATAACCACTTTCATCAATTAGATCTTTTGTTATACAGATTCATGAATACCTAGGATCATCAAAACCAAGTTTATTTCCCTAGAAGTAAAGGATTACACAACACATTGTCTTCACATTATTTATCTAAAAACATCAAAATCCAACATGAAGCCATTCTTCAAATTCACTCCTCAGACCTCACTGTTGCCAACATTGCTCTCTGTCATATATGCTCGAATAATAATCTCACTATCTCTCATCTTGTCTACAATCACATTTGAACCAACATATTGAATACAGAGATTGACAATTCTAGTGTAACCAATAGATCTCTAATATCAAACATAACTAACAAAACTTACTTCATATTGCACTAGCACAGTAGCAGCACTCAAGTGTAAGTACTATAATTTTAGTCTTTTAGACAAGTGTCAATCAGCACAATGTCTGATCAAATATGCTAGTACTTCATTATTCCTTCCTCCCATTTAATCAACATTCTATAAGAACAAATTTTGTTGTATTCCCTACCTACTATTTATTGTATACAGTTGTTCCTTGTCTTTTTATGATATCAGTATAAATAGCCACTACATTTAATTTTCAATAATATGCACACAGCAAGTACATTTAAAAACAAATTTCATTATTTCCTATTTTATTATATCTTAAAAACTAAAAATATGAATCAAATGAGCAAACCTAACCCATGCTTGATTTAGTGCTACAGAAAGACTGAAAATACCAGCTTTCATGGAGAAAGTATTATATGTTATTCAAAGCAGTAGATATATCCAAAAACTTGACATAATACACCAGCCAGCATGAGACTGGCTACAATTATGAGCTGGACAATTTATGATTAGACGTAACGGCCATCAAGAAATTGGTATTGATAGGCACCAAATGAATGGAAAACAAACTTAAAGAAACTGTTATACATTAATGTTGAGGATCAAGCCTCACCGATGGTAGGGATTGTCGTGACAATTTCTCCAAGCTTGAGTTTGTAAAGTATGGTAGTCTTACCAGCAGCATCAAGACCTACCATAAGAATGCGTATCTCTTTCTTGGCAAGCCTGCTTAACAGCTTTGTGAAGGTCAGCCCCATCTCTGCTTCACTCCAGCTATTGGCTTATCGCTCGGCGCTGACATATTGAAGTTCAGGGCGAAAAAAACAGCTAATCAATACAATATACAAATATAAACATTGGCACTCTTAACACCAAATAATTTAACAGATCAGAACGGCCCGCAACAGCCACCATCATCACCATCATTGTTGCGGTAAAATAGGAGAAATTGGGTCAATACAACAGCTATAGTTTGGTGTAAGCGTCAACAGGTACATGATCAGAACAAAATCTATCTAAAAACTATGAACACATCTACATCTAAAAAACTAAAGGGTTGATTGAATCGGAATACTAGGGCTTAATCATCGAGAGTAGGCAATTCAAACATCAAACCCTAAAACAAACATCCAATCCCATTTACGGAGCTTATTAACCTTCAAATATCATTAAAACCGTTACACTGAAAATTCAATTCAATTCAAAAATAGTGTTCATCAGATCTATTCGGATTCAATCCAAACCCTGGTATTTCATTCACCACCGAAATCAAGTGAAAATCAGATCGAACCAGGTAAGGATCCAAAACGGCGAATCTGAATATGAGACTAAGAACTATTATTGAATCAATATGCGTATCTATGTATCCATACAGGGATCGAATTGAATTATATGCCATAGATCGTACCTGTTGAGTCGACTGAGATCTACAATATATTCACATATACAAATCAAACATCTAAACAATATATGGGTTTGGATCGAAGTGACTCACCGCTCGAAAGTTCCACAGAAAGTCGAATGAAATAAGAGTGCAAACAGAGAGAGATCGAGATGCGATTTTGGGGGCGATGTGAATCACTACTCTCTCTCTCTCTCTCTCTCTCTCTTAAATGACCCGGATTATAAAAATGCATTTTTATTTAAATGAAATTACACTGTTACCGCTATATTTCTTTGAAATTACATTATTAGTATTCCCATTATTCTTTGTAATATCATTCAGCTTGCTTGGTTTTGGTTTTCATAATATACTTTTTCTAAAAATTTAATTTTTTTATTTTCTATATATTTTATATTTTCAATGAATTTTTTAATATTTTTAGTAATTTTTAAAAAAATTTTAGACACATCTAACATAAATATACTTAAAAAGTATAATATTTGTAAAAAAAAATTCTTCAAAAAATTCACTAAATACTAAAAGTGCAAAAAAAAAAATCAATGTATTTTTCATATTTTTGTATATTTATTAATTTTTTAAAATATTTTTCACAAATATTTTATTATTTAGATATATTCTCGTTTGGGAACAAGTTATTTTAGTAACTTTTTAATTTTTTACGAAAATATGTACAAAAAAATAGAGAGAATGATGTGACAAATTATAGTAACTTTTTGAATTTTTAGCTAAAATAGCTACTCCCTAAACGTGGCCTAAGGATTCGTTTGGGAAGTGGATTGGTTTTCTAATTTTTTGGCATTTTAGTTATTTTAGCCTAGAGTTAAAAAGCCTCGTTTGAGAAGGACTTTTTGACTTTTTTTGATTTTTTATGAGAGAAATAATGTAATGATTATAAGTTAGATGTGATATTTTGTTTTATTATTGGGTTAAAAAGCCTATTTTGTCTTTTTGTAGCTAAAATAGCCCCAAACTCAACCCGACCCTTCTTTCAAATGAAACCTAAGTAAGGTGCATCTAAAAAAGTAAAAAAAATTACTTAAAATTTAAAAAATATTCGCTAAAAAAAAAACTCAATTTTTAAAAAATTAAATTCAGAAAACTAAAATTAAAACTAAACATGCCCCATACTTTAAAAAATAATAATTGCAAGAGTTAGGTCTATTATCCCTTATTAGACCATCAATTAATCGGGTGATTATTTAGTAATCTGAAAATATAGTCACCATAATAATGATGGAAAATGTAAAATATTAATTATTTGTATTGAATAATTAAGAAATATACAAAGTATAATGAATGATAATTTGTAAGAAAATATGACATACAATATTTTGTAACTATTGTATAATTTTGTGAATTAACCAAACATAAATTGATGGGAAATCATAAATAAGACGTGAAGTATATAATTTTGTGAATTAACCAAACATAAATTGATGGGAAATCATAAATGAGACGTGAAGTATCAAAATTACCATTACCTACATGTTATCTCTTGAGGCAGGTATTGCCTTTATTTTATTTGTTATCGTTTCTCTTTCATAGTGCCGTTTTGGGAACCTTGAAAAAACGTAGCGTTCTCAGCCAAGGGCAAAAACGCTAGAGTGTTGAAAAAAGCTGAATCCACCATTTGGGAAGAGCTAGAAACGCAACTCGGTCATTTACCAAACTACCCTCATCTCATAAATTAGGGCCTAGGGCAAAACGAGGCCACATTTGCCTCATTCAGAGTCTGGTTACGATAGCAAAATCCTCCTTCAAGTGGCGCCGTGTAACTCCCTTGAACAACCGACGACCTTGCAGTCCCCCACCGAAGCTGCCGCCGGATACGTTGTCCATGTCCTCGCCTTCGCCGGATCTGCACCATCAGGTATGTCGAAAACCATCTTACATTTACTATCTTCTCGCAAGTAGTGACGAACCCAAAACCATGGCAGCAGTTGTTCTTGATCTTGTGGACGACCTGCACTTGTGATTTCGGATGTAAAAAAATGATTGTATATCCGATCTGAAACACCAAGGTGTTCTGTACTTAGAACACCTGCAGATTAGATCAATGACAAATTGATCTAAGAATTCTAATGCATCCCATTAACTGAAGTGTAATGTATATATATATATATATGTATATATGTAATATATACGGTGAAGTGGACTTGTTGTGTTAAACAAGCACTTTTTCATGGATTAGACACCATACTCTGTTGCTTCATATGACTTTTATGATACTGTTGGGAAGACCTTCTGATCATGCAATTGTTTGTATAGTTTTGAAATTGGGCTAGAAGAGTTTGTTTATAGTCATTTAATTAATTAATTTCAGTGACTGTACTACCATTGTGTTGATACAACAAAATGATATGGGGTCAGTTGTGTTCTTTTTAAGCATTGTGCCCTGGTGGCTTGCATGAATCTGATATGTATTAGTGTCAATTGACATTGTGTAACAATTGTTAAATAATAAATGGTGTAAAATAATATTTTAAAATCATCAAATAATCATTCCAATCTTGAAATCAAGTAATGACCCAACAAAATTAGATTAAAGTTATTTAGTCTGTTTGGGCAATTAGAAATTTTGTTTTAAATTTTAATAATTCTATACAAGTTTTTAAGATTTAAAAAAAAAAATTATAAACACATTTTTATATAAATTATACCAAATAAGACCATCATTAAAATAATTTTCTTTTTGTATGCTTGCACAATTTAATACTCCATGAAATGAGACTTATTACAATAGTTTTATAAGTTTCATACCAATGAGTTTTTTTGTTTTTTTCTATTAATTTATAATATGTTAATAATGTTATACATAGACATTCCTGTGTTCTAGTTCTTATGATCAACAAAGTGCATTTAGGTCTAGAGTTTTTCTAACATTGATAATTCAAATAGAAGCTAAACATAATAAAGGGAGAAGAACATATAGAATAGAAAGAAATCCCTTTCCCATTAGTTCATTACCTAACCATTGTGCCTTTCTTTTTCAATGATCTTCTGGAGGTTCCATGATCTATCACAGTTTCGCACACTAACACATACACACACACACACACAAAAAGAGTTGTCGCATGCATTTAGCTGAATATCATGAGATTTGCCACAGAAGGTCATACAACACTCACGTAGAATTTACAGTTAATTCGACATGTAGTTCAATAAATAATTTCTATATAAAAGAATTTTGTAAGTCATTTCTTACTATATCTTTTACATAAAATCATTACATTTTTGCACGTATTTGTTTGGTTGCCTTGAATGTAAGGGGTTATTTTTGGAATTTTATACTTGGCTATATTAACTGCTAACTGCTAACTGCTAATTACTTCAGTAACATTCTCTCAATATACTTAGGGACCATTGACCAGGAACAGTTGAGCAAGTAGATTTTTGGAGCATTTTTCGTCCCTATTCATAACCATAGCAAATGAGTCACCTAAAGCATAATGCAAGCACATTGTCAGTAAAAACAAATCAAAGGGAGTGAAAATGTTCACGTATTAACCTAAATTCAAAATGAACTTCTTTCAGTTATTGTCTTTCATTCCGCACAGTAGATTATATTAGTTCAATTTATAATATGAACAAAAAAATCAAAGGAGTATACAGATGGCGTCCTCCACGTCAAGTGCCACTTCATTATGGCCATCGAGGATGTGTGATTGTGGGTTTGGACATTGCGTTGTAAAGATATCAAGATCCGCCAAAAACCCTGGTCGTGCGTACTACGTTTTCCCTAGAACTACGGTGCGTTTGTGTTGCCACTCTCTTACGCACTTAGTCATGTCGTTGTTCATTTCTGGTTGTGTCGTATAGTATGCATGCTAACTATTTACTGTAATTTTGTCCAGCAGAGATGTACGTCGTGGGTTGGTTGGTATGACGAGTTTCACAGCACCAGTTTGCGTACTGACTAGTCAGATAATGATGTCAATCAGGGGCTACGAGCAGACGTTGCGCGCATAGATCAGAGCCTACGTATGCTTAGGACCGTTGTCGATTTTTTGTGCGTCGTTGTTTTGGTGTTGTTGTTTCGGATATGATGTATTGTCATGGATATTGTTACGTAGTTACTTTTTGTATGACATATGTACTTTGCTGTCAGTTTGATGTTTTGGTCCTGTTACATAAGATTTCCCCAACGTGTAGTACAAACGGACTTTGTCTTTCGGAAAGTGTTGTACTGTTTGTTGTTATTACTGTAGTAGTTGTGTTTACACTTTTATTTCACTTTTGGCCATGCAAACAATATGTACTGTACTTCATTTTTTTTGATATTGCATTGTAAATGTTACAAGCAGGACAACACTACTCATGGCAACAAACCGATCATCACCCCGTACCCCTTCAAAGTCTCAAGGTAACGCAGTCACAGCAACCCAACCCCAGCCAGTCCACAAATGCCAATTCGACAGTGACAATACAAAGCTGTTTCTTCAACTCATCATTGCTGAAATGGAAGGTGGTAATCGACAACCGTGCAGATTGTCCATGGCAGGGTATAAGAACGTAGCAAACAAATTTCTATAAAAAAATCAGCCTACTACATTCAGCCAAACAAATGAAAAACAAGTTTGACAACTTGAAGAAAGATTTGGTCGCCTGGAAAAAGTTGGAGAATGCTAGCCACAGCTTGACAGGACTTGGGTATGACCATGAGACAGGCTTGTTCACTGCACCTGACCATTAGTGGGCCAAAATGCAAGCGATATGTTTTCACAAAACTTTTATGTTCCCTAGTACTGTTGTACTAGTATCGCTGATTTTAGTTGCCATATTTTGTTCACATAACTATTTTCAACAAATCAAAGCACTTGTTGAACATATTACTTTAACATATGTTAGGCAACCCACAACGTGCGATGTGTACACTTAATTCAAGAGTTACATTTATTGTTTTGTAATTGCATTTCAAGCTGTACTAACATATGTGTTTTCTCCTTCACAGATGAACAACCGATGTGCTAATTTCAAGAGTAAGCCTCTAGAGCATGTGGATCTCATAGAGCGGGTGTACTCTGGCACAGCAGTGACTGGAAAACATGTATGGACTCCAACAGAAGTGCGCGATGCTGCTGCTACTGTAATAACCCTCATCACTGCTTACCGATAAACATTGATTACCGTCAAACTGAACTGATTATGACTGATAATTGAACTGATTAAAGTACTGAACTGACTGACTGAAAACTGGAGCTGAATTGACTGAGTATGTATGTTAATTTGTATTCTATCTGTTTGATTGTTTATTTAATCTGTTCATGTTTTATGTTCAAACTGCTAATTGGAGCCCTTATCGGCGGCCGAACCGGGAATTGATTGATGTTTTATGATCATCATAATTTATGTGATTTTATGGTGTATTTATCTGAAAACTGATTAGGTATGATTAAATTAGATTAAAATAAGCCAATTAAAGAGTTAGGCTTAATTACCAAATTGCCATCCTAGTGGGTCACTTACTTAATACTTTGAGGACTCATTCTTATGCATTACAAAACATTTGCTCAGCTCATTCCTTGCCTTTGCCGACCAGAGAGAGAGAGATAAGGGAGAGAGTTAGATTTCATCTCACTTTGCTTGGTTCTGCTTGGAAATTTAAGAGAATTGAAGCATAGATTACATATTTGAGCTCCTAGTCTTCTAATTCAAAGACTTAGGTAAGGATTTCATCTTCTCATTCTTGTGTTTGAGCTAATTCTTGCATGGTTCATGTTAAATTGTAGAGCTAAGTCATGTTTTAGTTCATACATGTTGATATAGAGCATAATCCATGCATGCATGTTTGAATTGTTGGATTTTGAGTTGAGTTCATGGCAAATTGTTACATGCATGTCCATGATTTTGCAATGGTCCATGATTTCATCATGTTTTGGAAACAGTTGGCTCCTTAGAGCATCAAATTGAAGCTTCAAAATGATTTGAATTCATGCATGTTTGCATGTTCATCTTGTTCTTGAAAAATGGTTTGAAATTGAATTTGAATTAAACACCCTTGGGTTTTGATTTCTCAAAGTTAAGTTTTGAATCATGTTTAACTATGTGTTTACAAATGTTTTCTGGAAATTCAGCCCAAGAGGTCGAGTATTGAGTTGTTAAAACTTGGTTTTTGGCTTGGAGGTGCAATCTGGGTTTTCCAGATTTTGCACTTCCGCTCGAGCGGGGACCAGTGGCGCTCGAGCGTGGAATCTGAGCATCCAATATTTTCTCTGCACTGTTTTACAGTCTGCTCGAGCGGAGGCATGTGTCTCACGATCGAGCGGGCGTCGAGCGTCCATCGAGCGGAGATTTCACCCATCCAGTACTTTTACAGTACGCTCGAGCAGGAAAGTTGACGCTCGAGCGTGTACCTTATTGCATGACCGCTCGAGCGGGGAAACCTGAGCTCGAGCGGGACTCTGTTTTTCTGAAAAATCTGAAAATGCTTTTAAACGTGCATCTTTGCATCCTCATCCCATCCTAGGCATTCTTAGGCCTAGTTTAAGGCATCTTACTGAGGATATAGATGTAGAACACACCGAGGCGTTAGGGGTTAAGTTACTATCTTTCCCAGCTGTGTAGCTTAGTGTGTTCAATCTGTTAACTGTGTAGGGTTGGCGACTGGGGAGGCACGCTCTAGCATACTGTAGCCCAAACTCTGTGAGTAACAATTGTGTAAAGATATGTTCAAAAATGATTATCTTCTGAACAACTGAACCGTACTGTTTTCTGAACTGATTACTGTTAACTGAATGAATGTATGTCCTATATTCTGAACTGTATTGTGGCATCCTTAGCACCTACTATTTACTGTAGCCTTTGATCTCCAAGATTAATGAGGGCAGATGACTCTACACTCAAGGGATTGCAAGGAAAATCAAAGAGTTTTGGTGTTTAGTGAGGGTTTTTAGAGAGAAGAAAGAAGTGTCGGCATGTTCATATTCGTGTTGCGGGGCTTCTCGAGTTGGGATATTGAAGACCGTTTCCAACACTCGGGGGAAACAGTATGGCGTCATGTAATGCGCGTTCTTAAAACAATGAAGTTGTTCACAAGTGCACACTATCGACCGACGAGGTCACAACACAGCAGACATTCGTACTTAGAGTCCTGACAAAAATATTTTCCATTTTGAGTGAGTTTAATCATTTACCAGACATTTCATGAATAGTAACCAAATTTTTGTTAACAAGGGATTACAATTTTGGGCGTAATGTGTTCGTCCTTTTCGCTTACACAATTGTTGTGTATGCATGCCCAGGACTATATTGGCATGCTAGACGGCACATACGTGGAGGCACATCTCCCACTGCAGGAGGCAGCGCCATATTTTGGCCGTAAAGGACGACACACGCAAAACATACTCGCAGTGTGTGATTTCGATTTGTGTTTTACTTTTATATCTTGCGAATGGGAGGGAAGTATGCATGACAGTAGAGTTTTTAACGAAGTAACACAGGACCCAGCCAACACAATTCCCCATGCCAGAGGAAGGTAGGATAAATGACACATCTTTTTTTGTTTGTATTAGTTGTGTGCATTTGATATTTGTAATCGACCACCGTACTAATGCGAAATTATCGATACAACCAGGAAAATATTACCTTGTTAATGCGGGGTACAAGAACCAAAAAGGGTTTTTGGCGCCGTTTAAGGGATGCCGCTACCACCAGGAACAGTTTCGCGCAACTGGATGGCCAATTAATGCAAACGAAATTTTCAACACGGTGCACTCCTCCTTACGCAGTGCAATTGAACGTACGTTCGGCGTATGGAAAGCGCGATGGGGATTCTTACATAACATGCCGCGATATGATTTCGGGAAAGTGCAGGTGCCATTAGTTGGGACTTCAATGGCAATACATAATTTTATACGCTGCAACTCGAGCGACGATGAATCATTCAACAAGGTTACGAATGCAGAGAATTTTACATTCAACGACATGCCAAATGTTGACGGTCTTGGTGATGATGATGATGGTGAACCAGAGGGCGACGATGACGTACATATGAACGAAGTGAGGAAATCAATACGGAATGAATTAGTGCGACATCGGCGTCAACTTGGGTTGTAAATCCTGTTCGGTCTGTACGAGGTGATGGCAAATTCAATGAATGTGTGAAACTGTTAAAAGTGTCAAAAAAAAATGTACGGTTCTGTTGGTAAGTTACAAGTTCTGGAGGGCGTTTACCAGATTGTAATGTGGAAATTAATTAATGTAAGAGCGCAATTTATTGGGAAAAATTAAGAAAATAAATATGCCATTCAATTATAATAATAAAAATAATTAACAAAAATGTCATAATAATTTTGAAAAAATTTGCCACGGGTATTTTGGTCATTTGCAATAATTGTTTGGATAATTTGGTAATTGTTTGTATAAAAAAAATAATACATTTACTAATAAACTTGTAATACTAAAAAAATAAATTCATAAAAAAGATAATAATAAATTTGTAATAATAAAAAGTATTTGGTAAAATTTGAAAATTGCCGTACTAATAAAAAAAATTAAAATTTGTTGGAACATCATTGTAAATGTTACAACAAAACAGTGTTGATGTACTAAAGGGTAGAATCGTAATTTTCATTAAAAGGTAAGGGTATTTTCGTCATTTTACAGTGATGTGACACATTTAAAAAATATTAAACAAAAAATCAAAAAAGTCAATTTTTTACCAACTTCTCAAATCCCCTCCTAAAAAGCCAAAAAGCTTGATAAAAAGCTAAAAGTCAACTTTTTACCAACTTTTCAAAACACTCTATAATAGCTGTAATAACAAGACATTGCATTACAAAAAAGAGAATAAAAAGGTACCCAACAAAAAAGAAAAATAGAAGTGATTGAAACTACTAAAAAACACATTATTAAAAACTCTAATGAGCTGAAAAACGAGTAAAAAAAAAAAAAAAATCACATCAAGGATGAGCCATCTCATTAGTGTTCCCAAGCATTAATCAAAGAAAAAACATCATAGTTATGATGCTATGCCTTCGTTTGACAACTTGGATTAGGTTGGATTTAGAACTATTTTAATCATAAAAAAATAAAATAAATTTTTTAATTTAATAAGACAAAATATCACATTTAACCCATAATCATTATATTATTTCTCTCACAAAAAATCAAAAAAGTCAAAAAACCTATTACAAACAAAAAAATTTATGCCGAAGTTAAAATAACTAAAAAATCAAAACATCAACCCACTTCCCAAATCAACTCCATATATAGGAATAAAATTTAAGGTATACCCAATTCTAATGCACATAGTTGCCATATCACAATTACTATCATAATGACAACGTGCAACCATTTCTTTCAATTTCCGATTCTTGCCCCTCCCTCATCTCATATCCTTTACAGTTTGAATCACTTTTTCCTCACCTGTATTTTTTTTTCCCTCAAAATTATCATAAACCAAAATTCATCTCATTTGTTTTAAAACAATTTTTTTAACCACTATATTTTCATCATAAACCAATCAATGTCGAAATTTATTAACATATGAATTACAACAACAACAACAACAAAAAAATGATAGATAACAATTCTCTATCCGTCCAAATATTCATCTTGCCATTAATAAAAAAGCTAAGTTTGTCAAATATTGAATAATTTTATTGTCAATAATTGGATGCTTGCATAGATATTTGAGAAGATGGTTAAAAGTTAATTTTTTTTTTATTTTTTTACTTTTTTCTGAGAGAGGAAATGGGTTAAGAGCTGGGAAGTGACTTTTAACCAACTTTCCAAAATAGGCTTTTGTACCCCCAAAAAAGTAAGTATTTTCAAGTTTGCACTATATTTTTCACCAATATATATTGTTATTATTATGCAAATTATAGCAATCCCGACTTTGACCCGACCTTTGTTACATTCCAGACTTGGGTTTTGTGGTTTAATATTGTATCTGTGTCATGTTTTTCTCCTTTTACTCTTTGAATTTGAGTTTTGGAGCACGTTGGGTGTGTTTGGAACATGTTGGTTATTAGTTTGTCTAGATTGGTGTTGCCCAAATTTTGGCTTTTTTACTCGAACGAGGCTTCTTACGCTCGAGCGAGCCTGGTAAAATTGCTTCTTCGCTCGAGCTAAGTTTCTTGCGCTCGAGCGAGATTGGAGAGTCATCAGGTTTCTTTTCCAGACGTAGAATTTCTAGGAAAGTGAAGCTCTTCGCTCGAGCGAGGCTTCTTGCGCTCGAGCGAGCATGTGCGCCTGAAAAATTTCTAAAGCTATACATTCTGCGCTCAAGCGACGTTTCTTGAGCTCGAGCGAGGTCACTCGTCGTGTCTGGTCGCTCGAGTGACAACTCCTTCACTCGAGCGAAGGTCGCGTATATCAGTTCGCAACAACTCTTTTTACACAGAAATTTTGCACCTTTTTGCCCCAAAACCCTATGTTAATCATATTATTTAATCTTGATGATGTCTAAAAAATTATTTGAAAAATTCGGATTTTTTTTATACATACTCTATATTATTTGACACAAAATATAATCTGTTTAAAATATAGGTTGTATGATATATTTGTTAAAAATATTATTTAAATGGAAATTTTTTGAAAATATCACTATTCACTTTTTGACAAATTTAAAATTGATTAGTTGTATTATTTTGACAAAATTGATTGATTGGTTGACTGGTCACTATTCACTTTTTGACAAAATTAAAATTGATTAATTTTTTTTATTAATTATATTATTTTGACAAATTTAATATTGATGGGTTGTCTTGTGTTGACAAAATTAATATGGAGTGGTAGAATATATTTAGTTTAAAATCTCTACAACTTATACAATATTTTAAAGAAGGCATATATTTTCAAATCCATCTAAATATTATTAAAGAGATTTTTTTTATGCAAATATTTGATTAGAACATTATATATATATTGCATATAATATGAATAGAATACATCACGTGCGCTATTAAATTTTTTACATTACATTGATTATATCATATTATAATCAAACAAGAAGAAAAAGATGGAGTTATATATATATATGTGTATATATATATATATTATAAACTAGATGGAGAAAATTATTTGTTTGTTTGAAAGTTGTGAACTTTGTATTAAATTGTCTACAAAAATGGTGGCTCCATGTTTGAAAAAAAAACA